TTTTAAGAAATAAGGTATTTGATTATTAAGAAAAAGAACAACATATAATAATCTCCAATTCCCAATGCCAAAGCATTTATTTTTAACTACCTTTTAAAAATTCCAAAATTTGAGCTGAAACAAATTCAAACTTCTATCCTTTTAAATTTATTTTATTTAATTTGAAATCTAGAAACCATATTTAAATCATTTTAGGGTGTACCTTGATATAAACATATCGAACGTATCATGTATTTGCAGATTGGTTCCTGCATATATATTGTTTAGTTAATATTATATTATTGATGTGTGTTATATTATTTACGTATGTTACAGGTTTAATATTGTGTTTACATAACTAATTTTTTTAACGTGAAAATAATAGCTAGGCATTGCTAATAAGGTTTCTGTAAAAAAAAAGAATTTAAACCATATAAAAGTTAATTTAATGTAATTAAATTGATTTTGTATATTAAAAAATAACTTAAATGATGAATAAAAAATAATTTTTTAAAATAAGATTATATATTATTTTAAAAATTAACACAATAACATTCTAAATTGATTTAAGTTAATCTAAATTGCTTTATCAAATTTACGATCCAGATCGTGAACCTCAATTCTAAATTGATAAAATATTGCATTATAAAAAATTTAAAAAAATTTAAAAAATAACTTGAGTTAACTCAAGTTAATTAGCCAAACCTGTGTCTTAAATCATTAGACCAAAATAATTTTATAAAAAATAAATTAAAATAAATTATAAAATTTAATTTTTAATCAATCTAATATTGAATAATAAAATATATAAAAAAAATAGAAAAACAGCCCAAAACATGATCTAAGACAACCAAGATAATTCTCTAAATTTAAGATCCAAGTCACGTAATCAAAATAATTATATAGAATACAAATCAAAATAAATCAAAAGATGTAATTATCAATTAACTAAATTAACCAAACGTTAAATGATGAAACATGAAAAAGTATCAAATAAGTAAAAGAGAAAAAAAACCAATTTAACTAGGTTAAATCAACAAATTTGCAATTTTTGTCATAATACTGAGATAACTTGATAAAAAAAATTTAAAATAAATTATAAAACCTAATCCATTGTAAACCGTGTTAAAAGAATTAAATTGAAATTAAAAAAAACAAAAAAATAGATAAATACTTTTAATGAACAATAATTCATAGGAAAAGGATCAACAAATTTTGTTTATCAGTTAGCTTTTGTTAATGTTGAAGAATAAAATTAAAAAAAAAATTAAGTTTAAAGTTAAAAAAAATCTTAAAAATCTGGAGGATAAAAATGAGTTTTTTTAAAATATTTTACTATTCATTACTATTATGAAATTCCAAAACCTTTAAAAATAAATTACATCAAATACTAAAACTCTACTCTGGCTATTCCTACTTCAATATTCAAGACAGTAATCCTATCCTTTATAATAGTTTCATTTAATTATGTTTATAAAAAAACATTTTTTTTTAAGATATATGATAAATATTCTTTAACAAAACTTCAAGAGTGTTTGGGAAAATCATGTTTTTAAAAATTTTAAATTTTTTAAATAATTATTTTATATTTTTGAATTATTTTAATGTATTAATATTAAAAATAATTTTTTAAAAATAAAAAAAATTATTTTAATATATTTTAAAATAAAAAACATTTTATATAATCTCTGGATCACAATTCCAAACATCCCTTCAACTCCTTTATCCCGTCCAACCAGATGTTATCAAAACGCATGGATTATAGCTGCACAATACAGTAATATTTTAGGATTATAATAATAATAATAATAATTAAAATAAATACATCAAAACAATTCAAAATATATATAAAAAATTAAAAATTAAAAAATTTCAAAAACATTTTTTAACCGGAATTTTATGTACTCAACTCGTCTTATCTTGATGTGACAATTATATCAGTTAACTTGTTTATTGATTTGTTAATTAACTAAACCATATCTTTATTTTCACAATGTTAAATAATATGGCTTCTCTTTTCAGGAAAAAAAGAGCTAATTGACTTATTTTATACCACAAGATAAATATGTGCATGTACAATAGAGTAGGTTTTCAGAAGGAACACCATCATTCAATTTCAATACGAGAAATTTTATGGTCTGTTTTTTTTTTTTCCTCCATTGAAAATAAAACAAGATAAAGTAAGTAATGATTAATTTTGACCCAGCATGGAAAAGTCAATGATTAATTTTGACCAAAAACTCATAATTATGTTTCTCAGAACACAGGTGATATTTTAAGCCGCAGAATTTAAATTTAAATCCCATATATAATGATCTCTCTAGCCTTTAAACTTGGAAACACCGTATTCTTTACAAATGCTGGACTTGAAAATATAGGATGACAATGGGATCGGGATGTGATGAATATTTGTTTTATTCGATTATTATTATTATCATTATTGAGTCCAGTATATGACTGTGGTTGTATTATTAACCGAAATCATGGATGCTCGCTGCAATCTTTGCTTGAAAGGTATTGCAGAGAGCCGATCCAAGGAGTGGATGTTACATGGGACTTTACAGCCCACTATTAATAGTTAGGTTGTCATATAGTTAGATTTGGTAGTTACCAGGACACAAGAGTCATGCTACCGGGACAAGAACATGACCCTTGTTTTTTTTTTTTTTTAACAATAGGAGACTTGCGTTTTACCGTCCGGCGAGCTAACTTTTCTATAACATAAAATCAAAGAGAAAAGAGAGAGTTATTCAGCCCTACGTAACACCAAATGATCAGGGTCCCTGTCTATCCAGTTGCATTGCATGTGCTGGGGACTGATATGACATGGTCTATAGTCATCAACGGCGGATGGGGGAAGAACTATATATGGCTATCAAATTGAAAGCACTTCTCACTTCACCTATGAGGAAGGGTGCCCTCTCTGTCTGTCTTACATGCAAATTCGATGATCATATAGTATATGCGTCCATATCTATACATACAGGATTGATGCAAGTTTCAAGCAACGAGGTGATTTTAGCTGATACTTGTCACCTTTCTTCTTTTTTCTTTTTAACTTTCCAGCGTAGAGATGGGATTGATCACCGGAGCGATCAATGTGGATTCGATCCCTACAAAAAGAGAGAAAGGTGGAAAGAAAAGATTTGAATCTGATTTTGCTAAGAACATCGACAACTGGTCATGGCATGTGCATGACAGTAACACGATGCCCCCTCTAGCTATATTTTTTAAGCAAGAGAGATCAAGCAAACAAGGGACCAAAAAGAGGATGCATGGCCCTGCCGTTCATTATGATCTATAAGGTTGCTCCTGTGCCTTGCCGTGCCTTTTCCTTAACGTTGAGATTGCGACCCTGAAAGTCTTTTTCATTTTATTTTTAATATTATCATATTAAAGCAATTACAAAAACAATTAATTTAAAACTAAAAAAATTCAAAAATCTTAAGAAATCAGTGTCTGAGACGATGACTAAGGAGTTTATGCCCCCAAGTGGAGGAAAATGTGTCCATCATTAATAAATTATTTACACCAGTTGTCACAAAAATGACAACATCAACTGACATAGCAAGAATTTATGATCAAGTACACGTGTTATGATTCATGGATATATTATTTTTTTTTAAAAAAAGGAAAAAGAGGAAGGAAAAAAAGTTGATTTATATGGAAAGGAGAAAAGGTGTTCTAAATCAGAAGTGTGCTAGCAAATTTTATACGCTGGTTGAAGAAAAGGTGTTTCAATAATAATAAAAAAATGTATTAAACTGTATTTATTGTAAAAGAACCGTTTTTTATATTTCTCATCATCTGCCTTCAATCTAGCAGTAACAGCTTGTAAAGATTGTGGAGTGATGTTATGAAACCCTGCTGGTCACAATTAATACCGATGAACAGATTAATTTTATTTAAAAGAATATAACAGAAAACACTTGGTTTTAGAGAATTATTTAATATTATTATTAAATTCAATTCAATATTTTAATTTCAAAATTTTTGACTTGATTGTTTATTTATTTCTATTTAAAAATTAAATTTTATAACGGTTGTTTTAATATAATCGATTTAAAAATAAAATGGCTTATTAATTAAAAAAGATTTAAAATTAAAATTAGAAAAGAAATAAAATTTATAAGAAAAAAACCTTCCAACCAACATTAATTTTTTTTTTGAAAATAACATTGAAAAAAAATAAAATTCACATAAAAAACTTTTAAAATTAAATTATATAGAAATTATCTTAATATAATTTAATTAATTTTATTAGTTAAAAAATAACTTGAATAATTGTTAAAAAAATAAAATTTAAGGATAAAATTAAAAAAAATAAAAAAATAAAGTTTTTCTTGGTAAAATAGTTTATGAAGTATTTGCTTATATGATTCACTTAGCTTTTCAAATTATTATTTTTAAAATAATATTAAATTGTTTATATATATATTTAATAATTTTAATATTGTGATATAAAAATTAAAAATTTTAAAAAATATTATTTTAATATTTTAAAAAAACATTTACCAAGTTACGTCAATTATTTTAATATATTAAAAAAACATTTACCAAGTTACGTTAAATCATTGTACTTTGTTTTGACGCTGCTTCTTAAAGGGGCGGAAAAGACGGGTTGGAGCATAAAAAGGTATATTACAAGTTAGTCCCTACGTTTCAAGAAAGAAATTGTTTAGTATTTTTAATTTGAAAACTTATATAAATATTCTTTACATATTTAAATTTATTAATATTGTAATATTACTTTGAAAATCACTCTTACTATCAATTAATTACATTTATAAAAGCTATCACAGTATTAAAAGCACATAAAATATCACAAATTCTGTATTTTTTTTTTATCTTTAAAATATCTATATTTTTAATTCCAAACTTTCAATTTCGTAGAAAATATTAAATCATAAAAAAAGCCTTTAGCTCTTCTTTCCTTCTCCTAACCTTCACTTCTCCCTGCTCAGCCAACAAACCGATCATCACCTCTCTGCCTCCTCCTCTTGGCGTTTTCTCCCTTCTTATCTTCTTGTTTGCTCTTCCCTCTCCTTATCTCTTCTCCCCTTTTCCCTCTGTAAATTTGACAAGTCTTTTAAATATTTAACGGTTTTGGATTAATTAATTAACTTTTAGAACTAAATAAACTATTTAACTCAGTTTATAAAACAAAAGCATGTCTTTGGTCGGGCAGGGCTCACCCACTAACTTCGCCTCTCCCACGCCTTCCTTTCTCGGCCTCCATCGAACCAGCCAAAAAAATAGAAGAGAAAAAAAAAGTATGAGCAGATAATAAGAATCCAAAACAACATTTCCTTTCTTGTCGTTTGTTCTTCTCCATACAGCAAAAGCAATACCATAAGGATTTTGGATCTCCTTGACTGGTTCGCCCTCAAGTCTCAGTATCTTCTTGGTTAGGGTTTTGATGTGATAATGGAGACGACAAGAATGAAGAAGTACAACAGGCAACTGAGTCCAGATAGAGCAAAAGTGTGGACAGAGAGGTCACCAAAGTATCAACAACAGAACCGTAAAGTTGCTGTTGTTTATTACCTCTGTAGAAATCGCCAGCTGGAACACCCTCATTTCATTGAAGTCCCTCTTTCTTCACCTGATGGTCTCTACCTTAGAGGTATTTTTTGGTGATTTCTTTTTTGGGTTTTGGTTTCGAGAATGAATGTAATTTGATGTGTTGCTGCAGATGTGATTGGGAGGCTTGATGTTTTGAGAGGGAGAGGGATGGCTTCCTTGTATTCTTGGTCTTCTAAGAGGTCAAAGTTACTTTCTTTCTCCTGTTTTTAGTTTCTTGGACTGTTTTGATTTGAAAATCCTGAAAGAATTGAAAAATCTTTGGTAAAGATTCTTTCTCTTTTGCTGAAAAACTGTGGGTTATTTTTAGTTTATTCTGCTTGTGCTTATTTGTTCTTTTTTGTTTGTGTTATTTATCGCAGAAGCTATAAGAATGGATTTGTATGGCATGATCTCTGTGAGGATGATTTAATTCTTCCTGCTCATGGAAATGAATATGTTCTCAAAGGTTCTGAACTCTTTGAAGAATCTGATTCAGGTGGGCTATGGATGAAATTCAGTTTGATTCATGGTTTACTTGTTGTTTTGTGACATGGGTAGGTTTAAGTCCTGTCAGCGTTTTAATCTCTGCAGATCATATCGCTCCTGGTGGAACCATAAAAATACAAAATCTGAAACTATTGCCACAACCAGCTTCTTCTAGAAGTCAAGATGACTCCTCGTCAGCTTCAAGTTTGAATGGAAAGGAAACAAAGCATTCTCAGGAAGATGAAATCTCCCCTAGATTGCAACATCCTGGCTCCTCTGGCGTGTCTCCAGAGTCTACTGGTGGAAACAATTCTACGTGGAATAGCTCTCTTAGCTTGACTGAATACAAGGTTTACAAGAGTGATGGATTCGCAAATGCTTCGACTCAGACCGAGGAAAATGTAAGCAGACCTAAATCCCGAGAAACTTGTACAAGGGGTGTCTCGACTGATGATGCTTCTCTGGAACAGGAATGCAATGAGGATTGTCAAAATCGGCTTCCATGCGTGAAGGAAAATTCTGAGATCTGTGAGAATTCAGTTTCCCCTCCCCCGTCTTCCTCTAGCCCATCATCATCAGGCGGGAAGACTGAAACTTTGGAGTCTCTTATTAGAGCTGATGTTAATAAAATCAACAGTTTTAGAATTATTGAAGAGGAAGACATTCGAATGCCAAACAATGCAAGACTCAAGGCCACTAATATGTTGATGCAATTGATCTCCTGTGGGTCAATTTCAGTGAAAGATCACAGTTTTGGACTAGTTCCAACCTACAGGCCGAGATTTTCTCATTCAAAATTTCCCTCACCGTTGTACTCTACTTCAATAATGTTAGGAGAGCTTGATTGCTTGTCAGAGAATCCAAGGGTGACGGGTCTCAGATTGGAAGAAAAGGAGTATTTCAGTGGGAGCCTGATCGAGATGAAAATGCTAGAGGGAGGAGATGGGCTTGCTTGTCTGAAGCGTTCTTCTTCGTACAATGCAGACAGGTTAACATTGCTTCAACCTTTGCTTCTCTTTCGTGTTAAATCCTTTGCATATCATTTAAATGTGCTAGCTTCTTTCACCTCCCTTATGGATCTATGGATGCAAGCTGGTTGTTGCAGTACTAAAACCTAATAAGCTAATACATGACGTTTCTACATATTTTACAATAAGAGCATGCACAATCTAAGGTTTGGCTTGTTGAATGATGACTTGAATTGGGTTATTTAACTTAGCAAATAGGCTTGTTAACCAGTTTCGGATAGTTGGCAATTTACCAGATAGGTGTTCTGAAGAATTGTTACACTTGAGACCTTTTGCCACCACTGGAGACAGGCTAAATTGACAACTCAGATGACTGGTAATTTGAATGTTTTATTAGGTTAATTAACTTGACTGGTTTAGGCTCTGAACCGGGTATTCTTGAGGCATCATCCAAGAATCAACCTTGAGTTTTCATTTTGGTCATTTGGCTTGGTAAAGAGAATCCACAACGTCAACCAGTGGATTTCCTTACTATTGTTTCAGTTTAATGGAGGGATCCCATAATGTTGGTAAGGACATAACATGATGGTATTTACTTGTTGGAGCTAAAATATTTTCCCTTATGTGAGACTTGTAACCCCACCCTCTTTAACCTTACTGCTTTCCCTGCACTTTAGTTGTTAATAATGAGGTCACATGCGATGTCCCATTGTATTTAAGTCATCCTAGAGTGCTGGTATTCAAAAGCTCAACGCTTTTACTGAGCAAAGCACATAGAAAATTTTATAGGCTATAATTGGTCTGCACAACAAAAAGGTCATGCCACAAATTGAGTCATCATGGTCGGGTTTGGAATGATGCACAGGACGGGAGGAACAAAAAAGCAGATAGCATGAGACGAGACACCAGGAACAAGACTAATTTGTGTTTGGTTTGGTAGACAAGATACAATTTTCTGTCCCTGTCTGCCTGATTGATACTATAGGAATAAAATAACATGAAAAAAATTATATTTATTTTGAAATGTGATAGTATTGGAGTAAAATTTATAAAAATACGTAAAAAATTCTTCTGTTTTGTTATGGGCAAAGGTATTATTCAAAGAGGAAGTAGCTCTACATACCTTCCTTGTTATTTATCAATCCACCTTAATTACAAACATAAATTAAATTTCAGGATGCGTAAACAACCAGATTCAGTTGAAGACAATGGCGAGTCACCCTCTGGACACTCAAAATGCATCTCACAATCAATAAAAGCCTCCCTAAGCAAGCAGCCTCATGGCATATCTTTGCGATCACCTGTTTCTGATAAACCTAGAAACTCCTCTGACGGGGCTGATGGCTCTCAAGTAGTACATTATAGCTTATCAAATGGTGGCAGTCGAAGAATTACAGAGCCTGTTCCAGGTAAGAAACAATCAAAGAAGCTCGATTCTTTCAGAGAGGAGAGGGTGATCAAGATCGAAGAAAGTTAAGTGTTGACTCCAATCTGCTTTAAAAGTTGCTGCTAAATTTTATCTTTTTGTTGTCGCATTTTGACATTATTCTGATCTCCTCTCAACAGGCTTGCTTCAGGAGCTCGGGTTATAATCCACTCCAAAGCCCCATGTAACCCTGCTGTTTGCCGCTCGTAGGGCGAAATTTGGAGGCTGATCAATGTTAACTAACAGTCGGTTGCATTTGAAGAGGCTTGTTGATTGTATAAAACTACTAGTTTTCAAATTTGGTTTAAATGTCAACTAATGATAAAAATTAATTGGCGGGTCCATGGTCCATGATTCTGTAAATAAAAAGAGATCAAAAAAGTTTAGAGAGGAAAAAGGGAAATGACCCATTTGCAAGGGTGCAAGTTCAGGCATCATCCGCCGGGTGTCAGCTTCTTCTTTTTTTTTTAAATAATTGAATCGTACCTTTTCGTGTAAACTGTAGTTGCAAAACTGTCCTTGAGCAGTAATGCTTTTGCTACAGTGAACTGTCACAGCAACCGCGACCATATACTATTTTTCATTAACCTTTTTTGGCCTGCGCTATCCTTGTCAACTGTAAACACCCGTTTATTGTGCTAGGGCCCCTTTTCCTTTGCGACAAATTAAAGCCATGCTACTGGAATGGCATTCATCGTCATGGGTTGATGTGGGTTGATGAGAAAAGCTTGCAATATTCACATGTGAAGAGCTTTTTTCCCTAGAATGGTGATTGAGGTTTACCTTTCTCTAGCTGAGTTGCTTGAATCGATAATAAAGGCATTTTTCAGTCGACAAACAACCAAAGCAACCCACTTGGACTGTCTTCTCTATTTTTTCCCATTCCTTGGAGACATCGACCGCGAAGGTAACTCCACGAGAGAGGAAGAGAAGAAAAGCCATTGTTTTATTACTGTGTTTGACATTTTGATAATTTTTAAATTATGATACAGGTTCACTAAACAGTTGGATGTGTGAACTGCTCACTGCTTTGTCCCATTCTTACTACGTATACAGCGAATTTGAGGCGTCTCTGCTATATACTCTAGGGTTATGTGCTCTGCACTATGCACTATGCACTGCAGGCTTGGCTGGAAGAGAAAAACTAACGAGGCCTTGTCATTTTTTATTAGCTTCTGTGCAGTTGATCAATTTGTATCCACCAAGCAGAGACCAGACAGTCCACCGCCCCCCAGCCACTTTCGTGTAGGCTGGTGGATAAAACAATACATTGCGAGAGGAGAGAGGTCCAGAGTTTCGAGTTCCATGAGTCACTTGTATTTTTCATTTTCATTTTCTTTTTATTAGATATTTTATCAACTGTTGTTAATTGATTAACTAGGTGTAATTTCGTTGCTAATGATGCAAATTAGAAAATTCGTTAATTTGATCAACTGCTTTTTCCAAGTGTAATTTGCAGTTTGTTTTCAAAACAAGTGTACTTAAGAGAAGCTTTTATTATATGTAATCAAGCAAGCTTAACATTACTTTTTATTTATAAGAAACAAAAATATAAAGTCAAAATATGCAGGACTGACTGGATAATCAAAGGATCTACAGTACATATTGACCCTTTTCTGTTGATGAAAATATTAATGAGATATGTTAGGTGGTAACGACTATTTTTTAAAATATTTTTTTATTTAAAAATATATATAAATAATATATATTTTATATTTTTATTTTTTTTATATCAGCCAATCAAATCATTAGAAAAACATGAAAACAATAATTCTAAATAAAAAAAATCAAAGTTTTGGAAACACGGCCAACTGCTTTCCAAAAGCTTACTGAAATCTATTATCTATCGGCAATCAAACAGTCTCAAGACACAATTGAAAAGTATGATTGTTATTATTTGTTAAATGGTTTTTTGTGTTAAAATATATGTTAATAATATTTTTTTATTTTTTAAAAATTATTTTTAATATCAGCATATTAAAATAATTTAAAAATGCTAAAAATATATTAATTTAAATTTAATAAAAAAATTTAAAAAACTTCAATTTTTTAAAAATACTTTTAAAACGCAAAAATAAACGGGCCCGAAGTTACAAAAAAAAAAACTTCTAGCTTGAAGCCTGTTAGGAGACATTCTGAATACATTTAAGGTTTCGTGTTAAATCATTACCAGTATAGATGAAGTGTTCATCAGCAACCTTAGCATTATCAGCTTCCCGATGTAGAACTAAATACCAGATCTGTTCCCAATCAGGAGAAATGTTGTTAAAGATGAAGTGTTCATCGTCAACGTTAGCAATATCGGCGTCAATTAATTTTTTTATTATAAAATATTATATGTAAAAAATAAAATTCAATTCATAATCAATCAAATATGGAATAATAATTTTTTGAAATAAAACACTAAATAAAAACCTAAAATTAAAAAAAAATAAAGAGCTTAAATGCAAGAGCCAGGGTAGCCAAATGTGTGTGGGCCTGTTATTTTTTTTTTCTTTTTGAACCTTTATTTTCTGAAAAAATAAGAAGTTATGTTTCTTGGAGTGTGGTAAATGACAGATGATCCGCCTGGTTATAGCCTAGTTTCCAGCCATAAAATGCAATTCATTATTGAACAATTGCATTGAAATGAAGCTTATCATTCCAAGTAGCAGAAAACCAGTTCCAACCAGCGCCACAGACAAATGAAAAAAACTTGAGACATACGAAGTTTCTCCATCGTTTTTTCAAGGACTCGCTCTGCAATGAAATCCTGTGTGCTGTTTGCCTTTTCAATGTCCAATTGGGCCTTTTGATAGAATTTTAGCTATAGGTGCATTCTTAGTTACTTGTCTTTTTATTTTGGAAATGAAATAAAAAGTAAATTCATTCTGAAATTATTCTTGTTTATGTCTCTGTCTCCTCCCTAATCAAACATAACCCTACTTCTTTTTCTCTAGCACGAGCCTGTTTAACTCGGAGGGTTTTCCTGTGCCGAATCCAAGGATTCGAGCCTGCTCATTATTTCTTTATAAAAACAAACCAGATTTTGGTATGATTAACCGGGTCCATGATCGAGCAGGTCAACTTTAGTTTGATCTTTTTTATTTATTAAATCTAGCCTATATTAAAAGCCAAGTTGATAAATCATTAAATTAACTTGTTAGATTGGATTAAGTTTATAATTTGTTTTATTTATTAAATCTAGCCTACATTAAAAGCTGACTAGATCAAGTTTATGTTTTTTTTTATTTGTTAAATCTAGCCTATATTAAAAACTAAATTGAAATAATATGTTAGATTATATCAAGTTTAATATCACTAAAATAGATTGCCTATTTTACAGGCAAGGTGTTGATTTTATTTTAGCTATACAATCTTAGATCAATCTAAAAAATTATTGAATTCATTGAATGGTCGAAATTAAATATAATCCATGCCAACGAGAGGATTATTGACAAAATAACTAGCTCATAATTACATATTTAGAAATAACATCTAACCATCCCAAGAAAAGCTAATTCACCTTGAATTTCTCCACAGTTGTATATTTTTTTGTTGGAGAGCCCAATGTTTCATCAGAGATCCCACAAATTTCCTTTATTTTATTTTCCATCGTGACAACGTCCGTTTTGTCTGAATTATCTTCGACCTCCATATTAATAAAATAAACATGTTTCTCTACTTTTTGAAGCATTGCAACCACTTTGTTTGGGTCAATTCTACCTTCAATTGATATAAAACCTGTTTCTCGATTAATAGATTTGACGGTCAAATCTAGCAAAACAAATAAATATAAATCATGCCATTAATTTCTCTTTTATACGATAAAAAAGAAGGATAAATGTAAATGATAAGAATAGGAAGATGAAATTGTTTTTTTTTTGAATAAATAAAACCTCTGCTACTCAATGTTTCTTCAATTCCTGACCAATTTGCAGACTCAGCTAGCACTAGTAGATTCACCTATAATAAAAAAACAAATATGAATGAGAAAACATGGATTTTCTGAACGAAAGATGAACAGTAGAACATGTATTTACCTTGGACTTAAATATTTTCGCATCCATTGGCAAATCCATTTTCACAAGAGAAGGAGAAAACTCTGATAAGACAATTGCTTTGCTGAATGTAAGTAATTTTGTTTGGATCAATATCCTTATTTATAAAGGGGTGAGTTATAATGACCCCCTAAAGTATGATGAAATTACAAGAACTAATTAAGAGTTTAAAGATTTAAGATAACCTCCCTATTGTATCCAAAATGCCCTAATAAATACTTTAAAAAAGACATTAGCCAAATTAAGAAATTAAAAAAAAAATAGAGAAAGAACATCAAAAGAGAAACTAATTAAGAATATTAATATTATTTAAAACGATGTCCTATTTTCTTATATCCTCTCTATTTTTTTAAAGTTCATAGTTTAACTATCTTTTTTGTTTAGTAATTAAGGATATTATGGGTATAAAGGAGTTTTTATAATATTTTTGTCAATGTAAAAAATGTTTTCGTTACATTTTTTAAATTTGAATAAAATTAGTATTTATATGAAGTCTTGAAATGACAGGAATGAATATAATTAGTATCACCATAAAGTTTTGAAGTAATTAGTAACACGTTCTGAAATCTTTTATAGAAATAGTTTTGGATTCCCACAATCTATGCAAGATTGTCTAATTGAAAATAAAATGTGTTTAATACCTTTTGATTGGCAAATGCACACATATTATTACATAGGAATAATAAGGATAATTATATATCATGGAATTTTAATATCATTAACATATTAACTATTTTTATTTTATTGGAAATCAATTTCATTAGAGAATTCTAATGGACTTTTATGGTGTTCATCATCAAGATTTCAATGTTATTTTTGAATATAGATATCAAACTCATAAAATTGTTTAAAATCTCTATAAATTTAAAGGGGCATGTTGAGGAAACAAATCAAGACATTATATTTTGGATTCAAATTCAATCAATACAATCATTAGGTACAGAGGAAAGCAAGTATTACATCAAATGATGAAATTAAAGAATTTGAATAAATGAATATTCTAATTTATTTTCATAATTGTTTGGTTGTATTTTTATATATACCTTTTAATTTCTTGATTGTAATAAAACATATCTATCAATAAAGTTTCTCATTTTTAACACAATGGATTAAACAAAGATGGAATTCAAATATAAAACCTTAATTTCTCAACTTCTATAAGTGAAGTTCATATTTTTTTGTTATAGATTTTTATAAATAAAAAAGATCTTAAAAATAAAATGGATTTGAAAAATGTATTAAAATCAAAAGACTTAGGTTTGGAAATTAGCCAACCCCAAGTTAGTGTATGTTTAGAAAATATGTCAGAATTAAAAGACTTGAGTTTAACAGTCAGCTAAGTTTAAAGTAATGTAAATATGATAAATATACCAGACCCAAAGGACTTGAGTTTTACAATTAGTCAAGCCTATGATAATTTAAGTCTAGCAAACATGTCACCCCTCAAATACTTGGGTCTGACTTGAGTTTTACAATTAGTCAAGCCTACCCAAATACTTGGGTTTGATAATTAGTCAAGTTCAAAGGTAACGTGAGTTTGACAAATAAATTA